TTGAGTAACAGCATGACAGACACAGGGGTAAATGCTGCTGTCACACCACTATTTGATTTTGTGTGTCACTGAGTGCATATAGCATGAGTGAGCATGCGTCTGTGTGTGGAGCACATACAGCTGGTCTGGCCTCAACACTGACATAGGGCAAGATTAAATACGCCTGTGCAGACACCTCTGAAATGTTTGTTTTGGTGGTGATTTCTCTGGGCTTTCCCTTCGTTATCCCGGCCCGCTTATCCTGGAAGATACAAGATAGGGAATCCTGAGGGAGCGGTGGAAGAAATGCTCATCTGGTGTGTCCGTGGGAAGAGTCCGCAAAAGGTCAAATGAATCAATACACAGGTCAACCAATCAATCAGCTACAGGAGTTAATTTGGCTGGAGAACCCTTTCATGTCTGGGAGCTTTGAGATACTCCCTGAGAAAGGTAGACATGAAAGCAACACCATGTGGAGGAATCTGCAAACATGATTCTGATTTAATGACAGGTTAAGTGTCAATCACACGGCTCCCAGGCGCAGGATGTAGTGCTCTAAGAGCCCACATGATGTATGCAGAGTGTGCATCAACCTGCTTGTCAGTCACAGATCACATTTTGCACGGTTCATCTTAAATTCGACAGCCAGGCAGAGCAACACACAACATTTACAAACCCATCTCTCCATCTATCAAAGTAACAAAGCTCTGCTCCGCATGTCGATCTGACACATGTCAGCGCATGCACCATCATCACAGCAAGATACTGGCGCTCTTGCCTGAAGGTGTCGTCGCACCACTGAGGCGCCAACTGCTGAATACAAAGACTCAAACAGGGATCCATACTCACAGCAGATCAGTTAACACATGTCCAGCTGAAGGAGAAACTGGTAACAGAGCAAAATCAGTATCAAAGAACACTGCCTATATGATATAAAGATGGCTGCGGTGAGAGAGGAAGGGAGGATTTTAATATCTTAATCTAGGGTCGGGCTGGGACAAGATAAAGGGTGTTTCTCAGGAGCTGAATTTAAGAAGTAGGAGAAATAGTCCAAATCTCATATGGATGTTATACTGAGTTCAGTTATGTGTAGGAGAAATAGGCTGGGAGATCTTATCTTGAATTTTCCTTTCCTCTGGTAAGACACTCTTTGTTGATTTAATTTGACGTTGAGGTTATACAGTAGGCGCATTCACCATCATTGACCCAGATGTCCCGATTTTCACTTTAATATTATTCATATGATGTTGAAAGAAGATATTGCAAATCAAGGCCAACATCATGGTCATGTAAGACCTGCATTGTTCAGAGGCCTGAATGCATTGAAAACACCTACTTTCAAAAAGGGTTGTGCAACTAAAGCATAGGAGGTGTACAGACGACTGAATGACACATGTTATTCCAATGTTCCAATAATCAATTCAGGCCAGAGCCTGAGAAGAGCGACAAAACATGCTGAATAAATTAAAGGTCGACTGATAGTGGATGTTTAAAGGCTGATATAATAACCAACGTTTGGAACAGAGATGATGTGAGCTGATTATTTGGCCTGTATACTCTATTCTGAGATTTTTAGATTCACTATGACATTATCTTGACTTTGTGTATAGAGCCACCATGCAACAGAGAGATCAGAGATGGGCAGTATTTCTGTAACTCGTATTAGAAACATGTACTTCAGTTACTTTTGAGCATTTTGTAATTGTTAGTTGACGGAGCTGAAAAAAAAATGGACTGTGAAACAAGATAGTTTGACCTCATTTACACCGCAAGCGATGCGTTTTGTGAAGCGGTTGCGAAGAGGTCCACAAGCGTAGCGGCAGCACACGTGTTTTCACGACAAAACGAAGAGAAGCGTCGTGCAGTGGCCGCTGCTGTCCTGTCAAAATACAAACCACACCTGAGCAGTTGGTGGCGCTAGTGCACCGTGTTTGCAAATCTCCAATAAACCCCAAAGAAGAAGTGAGTTTGGACCCAAAGCCCAGGGTGGACAGGTTCGCGCGCCAGTGATTATTCCAACGCTTGAAGAAAGACAAAGGAAGTAGTCTTTGTCTGCTTTGTAATACTACTTAACACGAGTTTGCGCGTGTTGTGACCTCTCTCGGCCACTGTAGATGTTGATATTTTGTTGAATACAGCGACCATTCGCTCGCAACTCGCCCAAAAAATTCGGCGCCTCTTCTATTTTCGAGCTTGCTCACGAAAGCAAGAAGGGCAAAAGCAACATGCTCGTTGAAATGAAAACGCAAGTAAACTGCGACCGTTCACGAGCGCTACACGAACGCATCGTTTGCGGTGTAAATGAGGCCTTAGGGTGCAGTAATTTTGTGTTTTCAAAACACTCAAAATACTTTCTCAGTGATTCATACCAGAGATGGGACCAAGTCACACATGTGCAAGTCTCAAGTAAGTCTCAAGTCTTAACCTTCAAGTCTCAAGTAAGTCCCAAGTCATTTTTTCTTGGGCAAGTCAAGTCAAGTCACAGGTTATGTCAAGTCAAGTCAAGTCAAGTCCTGTAATAGGTCAAGTCAAGTCCAAGTCAAGTCACCTTATTGTAATTTTACCTGCAGAATCTGATCTTAATAAAGTGAAAAGACAAGATATAAGTAACTGTCAGAATCACCCATTTAGCTCATTTAACCCTGTGTTGCTCGTTCATAAAACGTACAGCCGGTCTTGTGATGAACCGGTCGGAATGTTCGCTCACGTTTTCTGGGGTTAATGTTAGCAAATAAATTAAAAAACAAGTTCCACCAAACCGACCCACCCACCCCACCCCACCCCCGTATCGTATCAAGCTAACGTTAGCTAACTACCGACTAACCAGATAATATTAGCTAATTGACAAGCACTTACTGGGCAGAATGGCTCTTCAAATGACGAACAAAGTTTGAAGTTGTCGCCTGGTTGTCCGAGATGTTTATGCCGCATGTCTTGCACTGTGCTGTTCGTCTTTTGTTGTAATAATGGTAATTCCGAAAGCCGAAGACGATGACTTTCGGTATCCCTCCCGCTGACATGTTGATACCTATCTGATATAAGAGGGCCTGTTTCTCCAATAAACACGTAAGGTACGTAGAGAGGGCATGACTGATTGACAGGGTAGTGATTCAATCATGACAACGCCATTCTCAGCCTGCGCTCCTACCGGGTAATCAACATTATTTTTTAAATTAATTTATTACTTTCATATTCTAACCTACAACATGATGTGAATAACACTCAAGTCATTCAGGTCATCGTGTCTCAAGTCAAGTCAAGTCCCAAGTCTTTAACTTTCAAGTCCGAGTCAAGTCTCAAGTCTTTTATTTTTTGTCAAGTCACAAGTCATCAAAACAGCGACTTGAGTCGACTCGAGTCCAAGTCACAATGACTCGAGTCCCCATCTCTGATTCATACACATAAAAAACAGGTGTACCTCAAGACGTTGGAGGGCTTTAAATTAAAAGAAGAAGCTGCATTTACTTGTTCACTGACTCACAGCTTTGCTATATGTCTACAGCGCTGGACCAGCTTGATCGGTTGTTGCAGTCCAGCCAAAAACTTCATCTTAATACATGTTATTGACCAATAATTGTCCCATGTACAAAAGGCTACATTCTTGCTGCAACTGCTCCACGTTCAATTCCAGCCTGAGGCCCTTTGCTGCATGTCATCCCCTCTCTCTACCCCTTTCACACTACATCCATCCTGTCAAATAAAGGCCAAAGCCAAAAACAATCTCTGGAGCTGTCCCCACTGATCAGCTCCTTCTGATACAACCCTCCCTTCTTCAGCTCTGGTTGGTGATGTACATCCCTGCATGACTGGTGGAAGCTATGAAGCCATCAGTCACTATTTAAGCCAAGTTTAGCTGGTAACGACAGTGTGTAAAAAGTACTGTCAGCGCTGATCAATTGCCCCAACCAATAAATCAGTCGACCTCTAGAATAAACACACTTTTTTGATTAATTTAGTTCTCGTCCCTATAAAGTTCTATGGTAAGTAACTCTGGATAAACGTGTCTGCAAAAATAATTTCATTACATGTAGACTTGTGCTAAAACAGACGTCAAAAACACAATCCTGCTGTGCATCCTCATGGGTAATCTAAGCTAGCTCTCTAGATAAGCTGTGGATATCTGTGATGAATGCAAACATCATCTATTCCCATTATTGCAGCTTCCAAATAAATTCAAAAATAGCCGCCCACAGACGCCATAACGGGAGATATGATAACTCACTGTCTTTAGTTTTGTTTACTCACTGTTTGATGATCCAGGAGCTTCGGTTAGTTTTAGAATTGACTGTTGTACGATGTATTGAGAGATGCAGGATGGCACTATGAACTGAAAACAAAACTCCCCAAACAAACATTCCCCAAATGAACAGGCCTTTACAATAAGTTGAACACCTGTTGTATTTACAGACCGCTGACATACAGTTAAGTCTGAGTGGTTGACTTCATGACCAGCAAACCACAAACAATGAGCAGATTTATCTTCACAATGTAGGATAAATTCAGATTCGAGGAGCATTTCTGTTGCTGCCCAAATCTCAGAAACCTCCAAAATCATATATCTGATTCCACTCACAACTTTACGAGAACTGTGTGGGTGAAAACTCCGACAGAGAGAGAGAAGGAGAAAGAGGCAGAGACATTCATCCTGAGAGATATAAGATTCCAACTCTAATAATACAAGATTATATCAGCTCTGAAAATACCTCAGTGCTTGTATAACTTGTATAAAATTCTGAGTAGAGCCTTTCTGGTCTCCAAGGTTATTCATATGCAGAGCGAGGGCTGTTGAATTTCAATGAGAACACTGAAATAGGATGTTGTTAATTTGATTCACTGGTTTAAATTTAAGGCAAAGTCAGAGAGAGGAAAACAAAGATTAAACAAAAGAAGCAATGTAACGAATCAGTGGCTTCTTGATACCTCTGATATTTAAATTTGGCACATTTCTCACGGGGTCAGAGCGATCATGCTGCCATGTCAGTATCTGAGCTCATAAGCTACAATAAGGTGGTTAGACTCACCTTCTGGAGGAAGAGGACAATTCTCTGGACCATTTCCGCCCGCTGCTCCTCCAGGCTGAAGAGCGTACGTGGCGTGCGGATGAAGACCTTGGTTTTGCCGTAAGCCACGTCATGGTCGAATCCACACCCCTGCAGGAGCCTCTTCACTGCGTCTTTATCTGATGGCAGGTCATGGTTTGGCCACGTAAACTCTGAGATCATCTTGTATCTGGAGGAGGGACAAAATTATCATATGAAGAGATGCAGCAGTGTGCAGCGAAACAAACAGAAGACAAAATAAAGGTTATTAAAAAATGTAGCTGTCTGCAGGAAGGAACACCAAGAGCTAAGTGTTTATAGCCTTGCAAGCAATGTGGTTATTGGATGAATTATTATGAAACAGGGTACAAACAGTCATTGCCCCCTTGACTTTGGTGATCCTCTGAGTTTTCTTTGCGCCACCATGAGATTAATGATGCTTTAGTGAAATGTTGTGTTAATTGTATGATGGATGAGCATAAAATCTGGTGGACACTAGCCCCTTTTACACTGCCAGATTTCCGCTGTTTTGCCGGCAAGCTGCGAGCGTTTAGACACACAGAGCCGGATTGGCTAGTTGATCCGAGGTGCCCAATTTTCCGCCTCTTAGGGTAGACATATTGGTGGAACCCTTTTAGTTTAAACAGACCGAGGCGGCCTTCCGCAACGGGAGGGGCTGTTGAAGACTTGTGGGAGGAGCTGTTGATGGCGCCACACGTGCGACCCACTGGCGGTGGATAAACAGGAAACAGCTGATAGCAGGAATTATCAGTGCAAACCTGACAGACACTATAAAGACTGGGGAGACAAAGAATTGCACGCCCTCCTTGTCCTCGCAAACAAAGAGGCCATTAACCGTCAGATGACGGGGACGCTGAAGAATGGACCGACTTATGAGAGAATCGCCAAAGGACTGACCAGCCGCGGCTTCCCTCCCACGTCACTGTTTACGTCACACGCTGAGCTACATGTTTTGTTACTTGCTCACGCCCCCCACTGCCCCGAAAAAGGCGCATTCTGTATAAACAAAAGTAGGTAGGCGGCATTTTGCTGCACTCCCCGATTTTGTTTTGATACTGCCAATGCTGAAAAAAGACTGACATTTGATTTACACAATGTAGGCACTGGATGGACTGGACTAAAAAGGTGTAGGATCGGCCCTATACCTGCTAAATATCAGTATATTAGTATGCTGACATTTAGCTCACAGAGCTGCCAATGTGGCTGCAGACACTCAGTGTTATTACTTTATTTTTATTACTTTTTATTAGGTTGATACAAATTAAACACCACAAACATCGTCAGCAAGGGATAAATCACATTGTCACAGCACAACCTAAAATCCAGATTCTTATTTCTTAGATTTATGCATCCTGTGTTTTCCATTGTTGAGGAAAAAAAAATACTTTTCAGTCCTCAGATCATATTATATCTGAAGGAGGAAAAAAATATGCCTTGGTATAATGTATACGGTTCTATAGATCTTCTTAATTACTAAGAAAGCATGAGTCTTTGCTCCTGGCACAGTGCCCTGGAAATCACATCATTTAGTACATGAAAAAGGGGATTAATTATTGCACAGTGCACCTGCAGGCCAGCGCAGGGGGTGAGGAGTCAAATTACACTCTTAAGAGTCTTTTCAGTGCTATAATTAGACTGAATTACGAGAGCTTTTAAGGCCTAATATTCTTTTTTTCAACCAGCAACCTTATGGTCTCAGACCTGTAGAAGCCTGTTACAAGAGTCATGGCACTGAGACTACATTCAATCATGACCGGATAAATTTAAAAATGATTATGTATTGTTAAACTTCAGGCACAGCTTGATGGAGCTGAGTTTGTCCTGATACAACTTGTGCTGCTGTCATGGTATAAAATTTCCTCCTGTATTATTATGAGTTTTAAAAAAAAAATCAAGATTCTTGTGATTTGAGTGGGGTTTTTTTTGGACATGATGAGGTGGTTTCAGGACAGCAGCAATATTCTCTGTCGTCCAGTGCGTGTTCAACAGACTGCTCCCCTGTCACTTCACAGCCGACCCACTGACGAGGCGGTGATGTAATGCCAAGTCCAAATATATCAGAGAGGGGGGGTTGGAGTGACAGAGCTGGATGACTTGTTAGCATGTTATGCAAAAGACTCATTACCTAATCCTCCGTCCACTGCAGTGGTGTCTACAAGGGCAGTGGGCAAATGTGACAGCTGGAGAATAAGGCTACAACAAGTGTGTGTGTGTGTGTGTGTGTGTGTACTGTTAGAAAGGTTACTAAAACATGTGTGTGTGTTTGTTATAAACCATTACCAAAGAACGATTTTAAGATTATTATCATGCTATTTGGATTAAATTCTGGAGAAATATGTGGTGATTTAGGAGCTTGTGACCCAAATTATCATTAAAAAACACATGTAAAATCAGGCTGTCAGGCTTAAGATCTCATCTGTTACACAATGGGTATAGCGTGTTTGTGAGTGAAGCTTTCTGGGTCTTATCTGATGTGATGACACCAGCGTTGTTGCATCACTCGCACTTGTCCTCCGCAGGGAAACATGAGGTGACGTATGAGACTCTCTAAGGAGCCGTATCTGTCCATTGCTCGGCTCTAAAGTACCTGACCTGACCGACATCGGCCCCTTTGTCCTCTTGTCTCTCTTTGTTATGAAGCTTCGGACAAGACGGAGCACTCTTATGAAATATCCTGTGTGAGACAGAGATATTTAGGGCTGCAACTAATGATTATTGTCATCTAAGAGCACCAGGAGATGTCTTCGTACGTCCTGTTTTGTCCGACCAACTGTCAAAAGCCCAAAGATGTTAGTAAAAAGAAGTATAAAACACATAATAAGCTGTAACCCAAGAATATTTTCAATTTCTAGCTAGCTGCAAGTTGTAGTTGCAAGTTATTTTATTGAGTTTGCCTTTCACAAATGATTGAGTTCCCTCTGGTAAACAGCTATGCAGTGTTCATGTGCAGGGCTTTTATTGTGAAAGGTAAGAATGGAAGGGGTAGATCTGGTTTGCACTTTTGTCTTTATCAAAGTTGAAAGGAGTAATTAGGTTTGGCATCTTGGTTTGTACTAATAAGCCACTTTATACAACAGTTAGTTCCGGCCCTGCAATCTGATTGGTCGAGAGACAGTAAAACCATGATGATACTGGAGTACAACATCACGGTTATTTCACTGTGTATGTATCACTCCACCTCACTGCTGATTGCAAGCAACAATCAAATCAAAACTGACGGTTAGTGTCACTTAGGTCAGTAGTTGCGTTGTAGGCTAATTATTTTATCCACTGTCAAACAGCCAAAAATATGGATTTATTTCCTAAAATAAGTTTTGAATTGAACTATGAATGGTCATCAGTGGAAGATGAGGGAGAGGAGAAGCTGAATCCATCTGAGCACACATCCAGGTTTGTCAGTGTTTCATCAGCGGAGCTCAATGACTTGGAGAAAAGCAACATACTGTCAGATCAGAAGGCAGAGTCGGCTGTGCCTGTGAAGCGACAGTCCACCATGCAGTCATCAGAGACTTATTTCACCAGCTGCACAATTAATGGAAACGTGTAGATAAATGTGTATAAAGAGTAAGTGCCTGGCGCACCATGTCTGCGTTACATAGCAACTGTGACAGTGGAGTCCTGATGGAACTATTTTTTTTGGCTTAAGACAAATAAAATGCTTAAATTATCTATTTTGTCCTCATTTTTCAACATTTCTTAATCAGCCTTACTTATTTAACTGTTGAACTGTTGTATAAAAGCAATATCACACCAGAGGGAGTGATGTTATACTCGTATATCGTCACGGCTGTGATTGTCTTCGGCACTTGGCCTGTGGCCTCGTGCCTATGACTGAATCACAGCCGTGACGATATACGAGTATAACATCACTCCCTCTGGTGTGATATTGCTTAATTATGATCTGCATAAATCAAGGCTGTTTCACTGGAATTGTGTTGCTAGGCAACAGCTTGGGTACATGCCCACTTCCTGTCAGCTGATGTCATTCACATACAATGCAAAACATTCCAACAGGAAATACAAAAGGACCCATTTAAAATGTCAGTCAATTTTTCGCCACGTAACATTCGCGTTTTGTTACAAAATAGTCATGACAAAAGCAGCTCAAAAAAATGTTGAAACTGGTTGAGATGGAGCCACTTTGAACTGTTTTATGGTTGAGGAAATAGCATCAATACCTCAAAGCTGAACTTGAGCACAGTATAAGAGCGAATGTACTTAGTTCACATTTCATGACTGTAGATCACTGGTCCAGCCACGGGGTCCAGATTAGTCTAAGGTCCACACAGTTTAATACATTCAGCATCATACTTGTTTTTGGCCATGCCGTTAAGCTAGTTAGCCGTCTCTGTCACGTAGCTGTCTGTTAGTCACTCACTCTGCAGCAGGAAACAGCACTTCAAAATGAAAGCTCTGTGCTGGAAATTCACTGTACTTCAAAATAAAGTGTGTGTTGAAAACTTGATATATTTTCTATCTGACTATCTGTCATGGCTAAACTGCTTGAGTCTCTTATAAATGAGCAACTTTCCCTTTTTTAGCTGACAACTGTATTCTAAGTCCCACTCAGTCTGGTTTTAGACAAGTACAATAACGGCTGTAACCTCTGTTACAAATGATATCATTACTGCCTTAGATAATAAAAAGTCTTGTGCCGCATTATTCATTGATTTATCTAAAGCATTTGACACTGTTTTGACCATCATCTTCTTCTGCAAAGACTGCAAAGCATAGGTTTCAGCAGCATTGTGTTAAATTGGTTTTCTAATTACTTGGTAGAACTCAGTGTGTGGCTATAGATAACTGTACCTCTTCCTTACTAGCAGTAAAAATGTGTCCCCCCCCAAGAATCAGTTTTGGGTCCTATTTTATTTTTTATTTATATACATAATTTCGGTATGGATTTAGATCCAACAAAAGCTCATCTCTATGCAGATGATACAATATTGTACACCTCTGCGACATCATTGCAAGAGGCAATGAACTTCTTACAGTCTGCCTTTAATCAGGTAAAAAAATCCCTTGTAGGTTTAAAGTTGGTATTAAATGCTAACAAAACAAAATCCATGGTTTTCACACGCTCACGTTCTCCTCCTGATTAAGAGGAAGATTTTAACACAAAATGGTACTCCAATAGAGAGGGTAATCTCCTACAAATACCTATTTGGC